CACCTTGTTATCTCAGATTCTCCAGCATCTGCAGTTCCTACTATCTCCACCATTACTGTCTGTCTGCTGCTGTTAAGCTAATTATGTATCCAATTGGCAAGCTCACCCTGAATCCCATGTGACCGAACTTTACTAATTCATCTACCATGCGGAAACTTGTCAAAGGCTTTACTAAAATCCAAATAAACAACGTCTATTGCTCTGCCATCATCAATCTTTTTGGTAACTTCCTTAAAAAAAAAACTCAGTCAGGTTTATGGGACAGAATTTTCCTGACACACAACCATGCTGACTATCCCTAATCAATTTTTGCCTCTCTAAATGTCCATAAATCCTAACTTTTATAATCACATCCAACAATTTACCCACAACCGAAGTCAGATCCACAGGTCTATAGTTCCCCGGTTTCTCCTTACTGCCTTTCTTAAATAAACATTACATTAGCCACCCTCCAGTCATCAGGCGCCTCACCCATAGATATAGATGATGCAAATATTTCTGCAAGGGGTCTCATAATTTCCTCCCTTACTTTCCACAACGTTCTGGGATACATTAGATCAAGTCCCAGAGATTTACCCATCTTTATATTCTCTAAGACCACCCAAACTTCCTCTTCTCTAATGTGAACTATTTTTAAAACATTAAAGTTTATTTCTCTGAATTTTCTAGACTCCATTTCTTTCATCACAGTAAAAACTGACGTGAAATATTCATTTAGTATCTCTCCCATCTCGTGGGGTTCAACACAAAGATGATCTCCTCCCTGTCCCAGTTGATGTTTGGAAAATTAAAATCTCCCTTTATTATGCTTACATATATCTGAGATCTCTCTACATATTTGTTTCTCAACTTGCCTCTTACTGTTGGGGGCCCTATAGTACAATCCTATCAAAGTGATCGTTCCTTTCTTGTTTGTAATTTCTACCCATATATTTTCACTGGATGATTTTTCAGAAATATCATCCATAGTTACAGCAGATATTCCTTAATCAACAAAGCCACCCTCCTCTTTTCTTGCCTCCTTTTCTATCCTTCCTATAGCATCTAAAAACCTGGTATATTGTAGTATTTGAGAATTTTGTGTTCTGATGGAGGGAAGAAGAAAAAATAAGTTTTAATTTCAGTTTGAAGACTCCCTGTTGTGAAGGTTTAATGTTGTGTGTGCTTTTCCTGTTAATTGATTTAGATATTTGTAATCTGTTAACATCTGCATGCAACCAAACCATCAATCCTATCAGAGTCAAGTATGAGCTTGAAAATTGAATATCTAAATTTTATCTAAATATGTTCTTCATTGTTCATTTTCAGGTAAACCCGAAGAATTTCCACAGAAATCACTCGGCCAGGTACCAGTGGAACATCAAGAACCAGCTGTTATCAATCACATGATCAATGGACAAAACAACATGGCTAAAGTAGGGCCTCCAGCATCAAGGAGAAAAGACAGAAAGGCATCACAAGAGAAATTGCAGGAGAAACAACCTGACAACAGGCATGGAAAGAGTTCTTTGGAAAAGACAAATGTTAAATCACAAAAGATTGACCTTTTGGAAAATCAGGGAGGCAAAGTGAAAGTTCTGCCGGATCTTGATGTGAAAAAACAGCATGGATTCCCACCACAGCATGCATTGACACAAGGCAACCCTAAACAACTTAACAATGCTACTGCTAACCAGAACACAAATGCTAACCCAACTGTCAAGAAGGATTTTGCACCCAAGTGGAACAAACCTTCAGGCTTAAAAATCTCAGAAGCAACTTCAGAACATTCTGCAAATGGCAAAGGCAGAACTGGAAGCTATAATACCCCAAACTCTCCATCCACTGCAGATGACTCTCTGATGGCTAGAAGGAAGGCCATTATTATAGAGGTTGATGAAACAAAGAGAGACTCAAATGCTTCAGAATATGACAATGTTCCCGGAGTAGATCATGAAAATGAAAATCATGCAGAGGAGATCATGGAAAAGGGAGAGCCTGAGGTAGTGCAAAATCAATCTATCTCCCGAGAAGCCATGTTAAAAAATACTAGTCCTTCAAGGCTATTGTCAGTGCCGTTATCAAACAATACAAGCAATATCAGTGCTAATTCTCAAGCAAGACTTCCAAGGACTCATTCAGGATCAGTAAGTTCCAAACAAAGATCTTCAGTAAAGCGGCAACCTTCTATGCCACCATCCTACTCTAGCCCTCCTGGGTATCATGGTAGCCTCCCACAGTACTCGCCCACCAGAGCTAAAGACGTAGCTGTGTTGCCGTCGTACAGTTACAATATGCCTGGTTCTCAAACACAGTATGACAATAGACAGTATGGTACGAAGCCTGCACATTTGCCAGACTACCAAGAGGGTAGAATGAACTCCTTTACTATTAGCCGCCAGTTTTCTAATTCTTCTCAGACATTCAGAACTCCAGCACAGCCTTTAGACCACAGTGAACAATATGATTCAGTGGCCACAACCAACTATGTCAGGCATCCAATTCCATGTGAAAGTACACAGCAGCATTTGCCAGAATACCAACAGCATTACAAAAGAAGGCAAGAGCAATATGAACAACACTGGAACCCAGAAACTGACATTAGGCACAGAAGAAATATGCAAAGATCACCCAGTTTTCGAAATGCACGGCAGAGTCCTTTCCCAGAGTTTAGCTACCAGGGTGTGCCTGTAGCTGGTAGCAATATGTATAATAGAACTTCACCATATCCTGATTCACATGCACAAACAAAATATCCAAATACAGCTCAGTTTGGTCCCCAACATTATGGAAAGCATCAGACGGATAGAAGAGCCATCCCAGAATCAGTATTGCTTTAAGATATTGCTGCCCCTTTTTAAAAGTAATGTGAACAGTGTTAAAGTAGATCATCTCTGACATTTAAATATATCTTTAGGAAGTGATACAGTAGACAAGTTTCTAGCAGAGTCTAAAACGTTGGATGAGGTTTCTAATTTTAAATGTTTCCTAACTAAGTACACTGGTATTTCCCCAGTATGTCTAGCTACTCGAATTTACAAAGTTTGATAAAACAACCAACCCGAAATTGAGCACCAGTTCTTTTTCATTAAAATTGATTGAAGAAATACTGGCTGTTTTCTAGTGCCAGGAACCATTGAGATTTGAGCTCATGCCTACAGTAGATTGAAGTCTGCATCTTAAGTGATGTTCTGCAAGGTTCCACATATGTAAGATTTTTGAGGGATTGACTTGTATTCTATTGCTACCTTTTCACTGCCCAGGTCAACCCTGAAATTGTTAATCATATACTCATGACATGCATTTGTTTTAAAATAGATTTATTCAGCAATATTTGTGTAGTTCTTTGATCTAAAATCCTAGAGTATACTGAGAATTTTCCCATGTGACTTTTGTGAACTCCTATTCAATAATTTTTAAAAAGGTACCTGGACTACATTTCCCTTAAGCCTGCCCAGACAGTTGCAACTGTCAGCAACAAATGTAATAATGTATTTTCTAGCTATACTTGCACAGAAATGTTGAAAAGTGCATAGAGATCAGTGCCATGGCACTTCAGCTAAGTAAAAGAAAACATGCTCAATACAACATTAAACCACAGAATGTTTTATATTGTTAGTGCATGTTGAATTTCACATCACTTTTAATTGTGACCAGGTGCATCATGATAGATAATTTGTGCAAAATAAATTTACTTGTAAAATAATAAATTAATTTATCCTTTGAATTTAAATTGCATCAACATGCATCTAATATATTGTCATGAATTATTTCCCTCCAGTGTTTCTAAAATATTAAATAGCAGAAACTATCCTTCTAGTTCAAACCAAATGATTATGATTAACAGTAGGTAGTTTTGAGTTGGGTGGCACTGGGTTTTTGGACCAGTTTATTTAGGATTCGTGTCTGCAGGTCTAACTTTCTGTTTGTGCCCTACTTATTTCCAGATAGCTAGTTGTATCCAATTAATGACATATTGACTTCTTTTAAAATGGTTTTAAATGGAAAGGAACAAAGAACATATGCTGCAGATTATTCCTGTGTTTGCAGGCAGAATGTTTTGGGGTATAAACTATTTCAGCAGAGTAGGGAAACACTGAAAAAATATTTAAGTTAACTGAATACTAATCCAAACACCTGAATATCAACGGACTGACTGTATATGTAAAACAGCACTACTGTGTGTATATATGTATGAGTATGTGTGTATGTGTATATATACACAAATGTGGAAATGAAATTATCAGTACACCATTTAGACATTCTGATCTGAATAAACAAATTGATATTGTTCATTTCCTGCTCAACTTCTTGCTTAATGAAACAATTGCAGACCGAACTCATTGCTGTTGAAGTATGTAATTATTGTAATAATCCTTTAAGTCTTAATCATGAGTGTTTAATTTGGACACTGGCTGTATAGTATAAATGAGATGGAGCAACTGAAACCTGCTATCTGCAATATATGTATCAGCAGAGGTAAATACTGTAGAATTTATATATTCACACTATTTTCTTAAATAATCTGCAGCCGTTTTATAGCTGTGTATTCTATTTTGTGACTGTACTTTTTTAACGTTACAAAAAAGACTTTGAACAAGTTTGTTTCTGGTGTTTTGCTATTATTGGATTGTTTCTTTATTTGATATCTATAGTAACATTATTTACTTACTTTTTCATGAAAAGATTTGTTTTCAAGGTACCTAAACATCCTTTGTTTAACAATGTAAGCCTTTGGCCAAATGCTTTAGCATTGTGTTTCACCTTGTAGCCCGTGCAGCAGTTTTATAGCTGCAAGTCATGGATCCTTCGGGACTTAACTACTTTTATGCATAATTTAATTGAAGCTTTTAAAATAGATTGTCTAATCTTGTTAAATGTTATGGAGCAATCACCTCCATGAAAGTGAAAGCATCTCTGATTGTTGTGTGTACAAATTTCCAGAAGGCATTTGATCAGATTGTGTGCTAATGATTATGTCAATAAAAATGAGAGTACATGGAATTGGAAATCACCTTCTGACAAAGGTTGGTAATTGGTTGGTAAGTATGAGACAAAGATGAGGATAAAGAATTAATTCTGTATTTAACAGGATATGATTGGAGTGCTCAAGGATCCATATTGGGGCCTCAGCTTCTACTATATACTAATGATTTTGATGAAGGAGCCATATGTATAAGTTTGCAAATGACACTCTAAGATGTGAATGGGTGCTGAACGTTGTAGAGGAATTTGGTCTAAGTGAGACAACTAACGTAGATGGAGTTTAGTTAGAGAATCACAGACTTGTTACAGTGCAAAAGATGACCATTTAACACTGGCTGTCCGATTTAACGTCATGGCTTAGTAATATTCTCCTACCTTCTTCCCATGCACTGATGGTTATTAGATGATATTTTCAGCAAATAATATACACTTGAATGCCTTGATTGAACCTGCCCCCAACATTCCAGATCCAAACCTCGCTCTATACGGAAAAAAGTTTCTTCTTGCATTGCTTCAAATTTGTATCAGAGATAGTAGGAACTGCAGATGCTGGAAAATCCGAGATAACAAGGTGTAGAGCTGGATGAATACAGCAGGCCAAGCAGACTTCCTGCTCCTATTATGCTGCTTGGCCTGCTGTGTTCATCCAGCTCCACACCTTGTTACTTCAAATTTGTACCCTTCTTATCCCTGTCTACTCTGTCTAATCCTTATAATGACTTTCAAAACCTCAGTAAAATCTCCTCTCAGTCTTGACTCCACAAGGAAAACAGTTCGAACTTCAGTCCAAAGATGTGCAGGGTCGGTGGGTTGGCCACAGACAATTGCCCATAGTGTTGAGGGATGTGTAGATCAGGTGGGTCATAGGGGGATGGGTCTGGTTGGGTGCTCTGAGGGTCGGTGTGGACTTGTTGGGCTGAAGGGCCTGTTTCCATACTGTAGGGATGCTATGCTATGATATGATATACTACGATGATGCAATGCTATGATTCACCAATCTATTGTCATAACTGAAGCTTTTCAGCCATGGAAACTACCTTGTAAGCCTCTTTGGCACTATTCTCCATGCATTCACATCCTTCTGAAAGTGTTGTACCAAGAACTGTACAAAATACTACACGTTCAGTACTTAACTGATTTTGATTTTGGTTTTGGTTTTGATTTTATTGTCACCTGTACTGAAATACAGTGAAAAGTTTTGTTTACGAGTGGTATACGCAGATCATAACAAGCAAAGGATGTACAGATCAAAAAGACTTAGAGGCATACAGGTTATGTTGCAGGTTACATTATTTGAGGCTAGAGCCTATTCAACAATCTGATAACAGCCGGAAAGAAGCTGTTCCTGAACCCGCTTGTGAGTATGTTCAGGCTTCTATATCTTCTACCTGAGAGAAGAGGTTATAGGAGGTCATTACCAGGGTGCGATGGGTCTTTGATGATGTTGACTGTCTTTCTGTGGCAGCGAGCCGTGGAAATGGAGTCCATGGATGGAAGGTTGGCTTCAGAGATGGTCTGGGCTGTGCACACTGCCTTCTGTAGTTTCTTACGGTCCTGGGTAGAGCAGTTGCCATACCAGGCTGTTATGTACCCGGACAGTATGCTTTCATTGGTGCATCTGTTGAAGTTGGTGAGGGACTTTATGGACATGCCAAATTTCCTGAGCCACCTGAGGAAGAAGAGGCGTTATTGTGCTTTCTTGGCTGTCTCATTTTACGTGGAAAGTCCAGGACAAGTCGTCAGTTATTGTCACTCCAAGGAACTTGATGCTGTTCACCCTCTCAACCTCAGCTCCGTTGATGTAGATGGGAGCATGTTCTCCTTTCTTTCTGAATTCGATGATCGGTTCTTTTAGTTTTGCCATGTTGAGAGACAGATTGGTTTTTATTGCACGACATCACTAAGTTCTCTATCTCTCTTCTGTATTTTGACTTGTTGTTAGATATCTGTCCCACTACAGTGGTGTCATAAGCGAACTTGTAGATGGAGTTTGTTTGGAGTTTGGTAACACAGTCGTAGGTGTACAGGAGTATACTGGGGGGGGTAAGGACGCATCCTTGGGGGGCTCCAGTGTTGAATGTTGTTGTGGAGGAGGTGCAGTTACCTATCCTCACTGCTTGTGGTCTGTGGGTCAGAAAACTGAGGATCCAGTTGCAGAGAGTGGAGCTGAGACCAAGATCTCTCAGTCTGGAGGGGAAAATGGTGTTGAGGGCAGAGCTGTAGTCAACGAGCAGGAGTCTGATGTAGGTGTCTTTGTTGTCCAGATATTCCAGGGATGCATGAAAGGCTAGGAATATGGCATCCTCTGTGGACCTGTCATGTCATTAGGCAAACTGTAGGGGATCGAGTCAGGCTGGGAGACTGGAATTGATGTGGGCCAAGACCAGCCTTCCGAAGCACTTCATGATTATTGAAGTCAGAGCTACTTTTAATAGAAGGTTTTCGTAACCTCCTTGCTCTTGTAGTTATTAATAAAGCCTAGGATTCTGTATACTTCAACACTGTCTCCACTTTCTGTCATGTTTGAAGACTTAAAAGCACGTATAAACCGAGGTCTCTCTGCTCAGACATGCCTTTTGGAGTAGGTACCCTTTACTTTTTGCTGTCTCTCCATGTTCTTTCTACATCACCTCACATTTCTGCACCACAATGAACTTACCTATCACCGATCTGACCACTCCTCCGACTTGGTAATGTTCTTTTGAAGTTGTACACTCTCCGCATAGTTTATAATGCGTGCAAGTTTTGTATCATGTATAAATTTGGAAATTGTCACCTGAAGTCCGAGATCTGAATAATTGATATAAATCCAGAAAAGCAAGTGGGGAACTCCACTGCCAACCTTCCCCGAGTCAGAAAGATATCCATTAACTGTTACTTTGTTTCCTAACACTCGGCAAATTTTATATCCACACTGTCACGTTCAAGAATGCACTTTGGTGTGAAAAGCAGCATATCATTTAGGAAGAGATAGTAGGAACTGCCGATGCTGGAGGATCTGAGATAACAAAGTGTAGAGCTGGATGAACACAGCAGGCCAAGCAGCATCAGAGGAGCAGGAAAGCTGACGTTTCGGGTCGAGACCCTTCTTCAGAAATGGGGGAGGGGAAGGGGATTCTGAAATAAATAGGGAGAGAGGGGGAGGCAGATAGAAGATGGATAAAGGAGAAGATAGGTGGAGAGGAGACAGGTCAAAGAGGCGGGGATGGAGCCAGTAAAGGTGAGTGTAGGTGGGGAGTTAAGGAGGGGATAGGTCAGTCCAGGGAGGACGGACAGGTCAAGGGGGCGGGATGAGGCTACTAGGTATGAGATGGGGGTGCGGCTTGAGGTGGGAGAAATGGTTAGGGAGGTGGGGACAAGCTGGGCTGGTTTTGGGATGCAGTCGGGGGAGGGGAGATTTTGAAGCTTGTGAAGTCCACATCGATACCCTTGGGCTGCAGGGTTCCCAAGCGAAATATGAGATGCTGTTCCTGCAGCTTTCGGGTGGCATCATTGTGGCAATGCAGGAGGCCCAGGATGGACATGCCATCCAAGGAGTGGGAGGGGGAGTTGAAATGGTTCACGACTGGGAGGTGTAGTTGTTTGTTGCGAACCGAGCGTAGGTGTTCTGCAAAGCGGTCCCCAAGCCTCCGCTTGGTTTCCCCAATGTAGAGGAGGCCACAACGGGAACAGCAGATACAATATACCATATGAGCAGATGTGCAGGTGAACATCTGTTTGATGTGGAAGGTCTTCTTAGGGCCTGGGATGGGGGTGAGGGGGAAGGTGTCGGGGCAGGTGTAGCACTTGCTGCGGTTGCAGGGAAAAGTGCCGGGGCTGGTGGGGAGTATGGAGCAGACAAGGGAGTCACGGAGAGAGTGGTCCCTCCGGAAAGCAGATAAGGGTGGGGAGGGAAAAATGCGTTTGGTAGTGGGGTCAGATTCCAGATGGCGGAGGATGATGCGTTGGATTCGGAGGTTGGTGGGGTGGTACGTGAGGATGAGGGGGATTCTGTTTTGGTTGTTTATATTATTTAGGAAGTGTGGATATACGAAGGGATCTGGGTGCCCTTGTCCACCAGTCAGTGAAAGTAGTCAGGCCGATGCAGTAAGCAATTTGAAAGGGAAATGGTATATTGGCCTTCATTGTAAGAGGATTTTGAGTTCACAAGTAGGGATATCTTGATGCAGTTATACACAGCCACTTGGAGTATTGTGTGCCGTTTTTGTCTCCCTGCTAAGAAAGGATGTACTTTCCTTTTAGAGGGAGTGCCGCTGATGTTCGCTAGGCTGATACCAGGACTTTGAGCAGAGACTGTCTTGACTAAGCCTGTATTCAGTCGAGTTCAGAAGGATGAGAGGGTTCTGATTGGAACATATAAAATTCCAAACGAGCTGGAGAGATTAGACGCAGGGAGGATATATGTCAATCTTAGTAAAAAATTTACTATATTCTGTGCATTTACATAAATTAATTGTAACCCTGATTTATAAGATTTAATTTCTCCTTTATTCCAACTATTAGTGTTATCTATTTTCGTGATATCTGTCTCTCCCAGTTTTTTTTTGTGTACCCTGATATCACTGTTTAATACTCTGCTGGTTTCCATGCCCCTGGAGAGTTAGTTTATAGGTTC